ACCCAGCCTGGGTCTGTGCTTGGGATTGCCCTTACTCAGTGCAGGACCTTGCCCTTGGCCTTGTTGAAGGATGCTCAGCATTCAGAGGCATCTACCACTCTGGGAAACACTTTGCTGGCTGTGCAGAAATAGAGGTGCTGTCCAAAACCCATGCATCTGGTGCCCAGTGGTGCTCTGTGCCTGGTGGGAACATCTCAGATGTTGGCCCGATGAGGGACCACTGTGCCCTGCGGCCTCTCCTGATGTTACCAGGCTCCACAGCTGCTTGAGTCGCTGCTCAAGGGAGTGCTTAGATCAAGAGGGGTTTTCTGGCTCACGTTCAGCTTAGTGTTGCTTGGAGATGGGAAGAAAATGGCCTGAAGGCTTGAAGGCAGCGCTGCACAGGAGCGTCTTTCAATCTGGAAGGGTGAGCTTGCCAACAGCGTGAAAATATCACAAAAAAACCTCCCATAATTCAGCAGAAATTGGGGAAGGGACTTTGGCGGTGATGCAGACAAAATAAATCTGTGGGGGTCGGGTTGTGCGTGGTGTTTCTCGGAAGATTTGAATTCCACCTCTGTGCCTGGTTTTCCCCGTAGCCTCCTGCCCCCCGTCCTAGCCACAAACTGCAGACCCCAGCGTTTCTGGTGTTTGAATTGTTCATCTGGTGAGAAAACAGAGCAGCGATGGGAATGGTCCCAGCAGCAGGAGATCCCTTTGCAGTCCCAGGAAATCCCTTTGCAATCCCAGCAGCAGGAGATCTCTTTGCAGTTCTGGGAGATCCCTTTGCAATTGCAGGAGATCCCTTTGCAATGCCAGGAGCAGGGCATCCCTTTGTGATCCCAGGAGATCCCTTTGCAGTCCCAGGAGATCCCTTTGCAACCCCAGGAGATCCCTTTTCAATCCCAGGAGATCCCTTTTCAATCCCAGGAGCAGGACATCCCTTTGCTATCCCAGAAGCAGGAGGTCCCTTTGCAGTCCCAGGAGATCCCTTTGCAATCCCAGGAGATCCCTTTGCAGTCCCAGGAGCAGGACATCCCTTTGTGATCCCAGGAGATCCCTTTGCAGTCCCAGGAGCAGGAGATCCCTTTGCAACCCCAGTCCCAGGAGATCCCTTTGCAATCCCAGGAGATCTCTTTGCAATCCCAGGAGATCCTTTTGCAGGCCCAGAAGATCCCTTTGCGATCCCAGGAGGTCCCTTTGCAGTCCCAGGAGATCCCTTTGCAACCCCAGGAGATCCCTTTGCAGCCTCAGGAGCAGGAGATCCCTTTGCAATCCCAGGAGATCCCTTTTCAGTCTCCGGAGCAGGAGATCCCTTTGTGATCCCAGGAAAACCCTTTGCAACCCCAGGAGATCCCTTTGCAACCCCAGAAGCAGGAGATCCCTTTGCAATCCCAGGAGATCCCTTTTCAGTCTCCGGAGCAGGAGATCCCTTTGTGATCCCAGGAAAACCCTTTGCTCCCTTTGGAGATTTTGCCCCAAACCCAGGAGCAGGAAATCCCTTTACAATCTCAGGAGATCCCTTTGCAACCCCAGGAGATCCCTTTGCAGCCTCAGGAGCAGGAGGTCCCTTTTCAATCCCAGGAGATCCCTTTGCAACCCCAGGAGATCCCTTTGCAGCCTCAGGAGCAGGAGATCCCTTTGCAATCCCAGGAGATCCCTTTGCAGTCCCAGGAGCAGGACATCCCTTTGTGATCCCAGGAGATCCCTTTGCAGTCCCAGGAGCAGGACATCCCTTTGTGATCCCAGGAGATCCCTTTGCAGTCCCAGGAGCAGGACATCCCTTTGTGATCCCAGGAGATCCCTTTGCAGTCCCAGGAGCAGGACATCCCTTTGTGATCCCAGGAGATCCCTTTGCAGTCCCAGGAGCAGGACATCCCTTTGTGATCCCAGGAGATCCCTTTGCAGTCCCAGGAGCAGGACATCCCTTTGTGATCCCAGGAGATCCCTTTGCAGTCCCAGGAGCAGGAGATCCCTTTGCAACCCCAGTCCCAGGAGATCCCTTTGCAATCCCAGGAGATCTCTTTGCAATCCCAGGAGATCCTTTTGCAGGCCCAGAAGATCCCTTTGCGACCCCAGGAGGTCCCTTTGCAGTCCCAATCCCAGGAGATCCCTTTGCGATCCCAGGAGATCCCTTTGCAACCCCAGCAGATCCCTTTGTGATCCCTCTGCCTTCCACACCTCCCTTTCCGCGTCTCCCCCCGCAGAGCAGGCCCGGAGGCGCTCGGCAGAGGGCGCTGCAGCCCCGCAGCCGCCCCCCTCGCCGCTTTTCCTTAGGATCCATCTCCACCCACATCGTTTTTCAATCCTCAGCCGGTTCTGCGCTCGGCCACGGGATCATCAACTTCGTGTCTGTCTGTATGGAATCTAAAGCCGAAAACCTCCATCGTTTGAGCCGTCCGTGTGCCGTTTTGTTCCGAGTCGCGCCACGTTTTGGCGGCGCCAAGCGTAATCCGGATTTACAGCTCTGAATATCGGCGTGCCTCCGCTGTATCGGCCAGGGTGTCGGTGTTTTCGGGGACGGATTTTGGATAGATGTCTCCGTTGCTTCATGGCGAGGTTGTTCTCATTTGGTCTCGGCTCAAACCTTGAGGGGAGCCGGGGTTGGCGTGAAATCGCAGCTGGAAATTTGGGCTGGATCTGAGCGCTCCACCCGGGGCTTTTGAGCAGAAATGAGGAACCGAGGGAAATTTCGGAGCCGCCCCTGAGCAATTCATTAAGGAGGGGGATTCATAACGAAGATCTCAACTGGGAGAAGATCCGGCCACTGAATTCATCATTGGGCGAGTCAAAATTTAGGGGCTTGGCTGGTGGATCCCCTTCCCAATGTGAACGCAGGGAGTTTTGCCCATGGAGAATTGGGACCACAACGCCGCCCCCTCCGCTTTCCACATGCCCCAGTGGATGGTGAGTCATTTAGCGTCTTCTTTTAATCAGCACGTAGCCGGCTAATTAGGGCTTAATTTCTGGAGGGAACATCAAGACCTTGCTGCTCCGTGTCAGGATATGATGGAGTTGAGGCGGAAATAGGGTCGTTAAAGTCTGATATTAATGAGGATCGTTGGACATCATCCCCTGCCCTGCGCAGCATCGTTCGTCGGCATTAACTTCTTAATTAAAGATAGCCAAGTTTTAGAGGTGATGTTCACCCATGCGCCATCCCAACTTGCAGATCTTTTATATTAAAACCTAAATTTTTTATCGCAATTTGGGACCAGCGAGGAGAAACTTTGCGATGTGATCCGGGAGACTTGGAATTGCACCGGGATCAGCGCAAGAAATACCAGGTTTTTGGCTACTTTAATTTCTATTATCAATTTAGTTTCTGTTGTTGAAATAAACCCTCTGATGGGTTCAGGAAGGGCAGGTCCTGCTTGA